AGTGCTCTTCATTGTCAGGAATGTAGGTTTCTCCTACTGGTGACAAACCAGTGATGGCTGCTATGTCAAAAAATGTGGGTGTAATCATTCCCCCGGGGAGATGAAAGGTGTTGTAGGTGCTGTCCCTGAAATATAAGGACGCAAATAATAGTGGATGACTATAGGTGAAGCCTGGTTTCAATAACTTAATCAAATTGTAGATTCCTAATTCCTCCCATTGCTGGGATTTCTTGGCTTCTACTTTGGTAAACCAGTTTTGGTAAGTTGTGTCAGGGGTAGGGCAGGATCGGAACGGTTTAAAGTTGATTTTCACATAGTCTAGCACAAAGGGGTCTTTTGGGGGAACAATTGGAGTTTCCACGGTTGTCGAATCAGAAGACTCGCCTGTCTTAGGGATATCCATTTTATTAAACAAAGGCTTAAAGTTATAACAAACAGGGAAGATTTTTCTAGTATCTTTTAAGATTTCAAAGACTGTAAGAGGACCCATTAGAGCAAACCTCTTTCCAGCAGCGTTAGTTGGAATTAGTACCTGAGATGCGTAGAGCATTTCCTTCTCTTTGGAGATAATTTGGGGGATAAGCACAGATTGACCTTGATAAGTACCAACCTTGCTTTCCATTATTGTTCTTGTGTTCTTTCCTTTCTTTTTGGAAGTTTTCTTCAGTTGGGATGATGTTGTGGAAGACATTGTTGAAAATTGTTGGAAGTTTTAGGGTTTCGGTGAGAAGAGAGGAAGAAAAGATTCAGAATGTGGAAAAGAATAAAAGACTAAGTTGATGGGTTTTTATAGTGTGGAAGTTTAAACATCCACTAAGTAAGACTAGGATACGTGGGAGTCGTGGGTTGGATTGAGAAGGAGGTGGCGTAAAAGCTGATATTGGTAATAGGCGTGATTAATAATAATCATTGTTTTATAACTGCACCATGCTGTGAAATACTGATTCAAGACGGTTAAGGAATCCAAAAGGCGTCGTGATTGACGTGACTGGAGTCATACACAATAAATGTTACGATTACTCAAAGGTCACATCAAAATCTTGCATATATATTTAAAATAAGTGTTTCTCAAAGGATCGAAATATATTTTTAAACGGGCATTTTGTTGGCTGAAGATTTTGATGATACAGTTCGAAACGAAGCAAGTTGGATGTTTCGTTGGAATAAAGCAAGATGTCATGGTTAGAAATGGTAGAAGCAGTGCTTTGAATGGACATGTCAAAGCTCAGAGCTTCGAGTGACAGTTATGAGGATATATTCAAAAGAAGTCTCGAAGTGGTAACGAGACTGTGTCCAAGAAATGAGTTCGAAGCGAAGAGTGCCAAAACATTTGAAATTCAAACGCAAGCGGGATGTTCGAAATTTAAAATATATGCGCTGGAGCATTCGAAGACGCGTGGAAGCTAGAGAGGGGCAGTGCTCTGCATGTTTTGAACGTGGAAGAATCTTATAGGCAAGACCGTTATGGTCGAAGTAGTATAAATAGAAGTCTTAGCGTTAGGATTTCGTGTGTCATATCTATTGTACAAAATTCAGTAAACATTCAAAATACCACATGGCTAGGGAAACGAATGCTCGAACAATGTACGTATGATAACACCAAATATTTATGATTCAGTAAAACTCTTTATCATTTCCAGTTTATCTTCTATCTTCATGTCAATATCATTCAAAAGCCTTTACATTAAAATCTTTTCATTCAAAGTCATTTACTGATTTCTTACATTTGAAAGTCTTTCCTTCTATTTTGAGTACTTTACATTACAGAAACTCTTTTGCATTTCACGCTTTTATCTTCATGCTTTTACCATTCGAATATCTTTCCATTCAAAGTCATTTACTGATTTCTTGCATTTAAACGTTTTACTTCTAGTTCGAATATTTTACATTTCAGAAACTCTTTTACATTACATGCTTTTATACTTCAAGGTCATTTATTTGTTTCTTGCAATTTTACATTTCTTTACAATCGAATCTTTATTCATGCAATTTAGTTTCGCACATCTTTACTTGATCATGTCATTAGATCTTTTAATATGGTAATCGAAGTAAGTTGAACGCCTACACAACATTCTAAATACCAACCATGAATATCAGTTCTACAACGAGAGTTATCCAAACGACCAATACACCATAGGATCAATCTAGTCGATCCTGCAAGTTACCAGAGAGATTAAATAACAGTCATTAAGATTATTTGATAGTTTGGAGGACTAGCGGTTGTTTACCAGAAATCACTATAAACACCAAGACAATTAAAAAAAAGCTAAAGTTATTAGAAAAGTAGTGCATACATTACAAACTTTAATAATGTCAACGATTGGCATAACAATAGATTTGGAAAGCAACTTTTAAACAAGATTTTATTGAGTATTTTCAGAGCTTTGCAACAAAGTTGAGAGTTAGAGCCTAGTTGTCCAGATACACTAACCAAATAGTCTTTAGGCGTGCTGCACAAATAATTAAATTAAAAACCACCTACATAACATAATCACAAATCAAACAGAGAAATGTAGATAATACTATTGCATAGACAGTACTTGTATATAAACTCTTTAATTGGAAGAAAATCAACATTGAGCTAGAGCATGGTAACATTGTACGTGTTTGTGACTGATAGTAGAAACTTCCCTACATTAATAAAGTAAGACGATGGTTTCATCAAGGTAAAAATAAAGCACTACTAATACCAACATATAAACCAACTAACCCTCTTCCCTGACTTTTGCATACGAAAGCAAAACCACAGTTGGAACATACGCATTGACCCAATCCGAGTTGAACTTGATGAATTGGTCGACATACGACTCCCAAAGGGTGCAGTTCATAGTGTTGCTAAACAAAGAGTACATCATAGTATTTTAAAACCATAAGTGAATATGCATTCAAATCATTCAAATAAGAGTGGCTTTGGGAGTAAATATAAAAATATGTGGTCCCTCAGTACCATATTAACTTGTTATTTTTTTGCACTCGACTAAGTCTGTGAATATCCAAAACTGTCAACCATTATAATGATGGCTGCCAAAAACACAACAGGGACATAAGAGTAAAACAACATATCACTTCAAAGGTGTAAGCAAAACAGGAAGAAAACATGAACAAATGTTGTTACCTATCAACACATCTTTGTTAAATCTACCGGTGATGATATCAGAAAAACTTGCAAACGTCATTGGGTTGGACGGTATTTCATGTTTGCTATCATCCCCAATGGATGTTCCTCCGGTAAACTTGACCATAAATTTGTGTGAAGAAGGTTTGAAGGACAAGACATTAGCCTGAATCTTAAAGTTCGACACCGTGTAAGTATGGTCAAATGTTAATTTGTCATAGAACGCAGTCGTATGTGTTGGGACAACAACATATATGTCACCACCATGCGATGCACAGATGCACATATGCTTATAAAAGTTAAATGCATACAAAGTAATAAAATATACAAAACCAAACGACATGCTACCAAATAAACAGAATGACAAGCAGTATAGTAAATTACATCTTTTCTATGAAGATCATCTCAAAGTACTCTTTATTGTTGGATACAACCTTCCATTTATGATGCACCCTGATAGCTACCTTCTATAGCTCCTTGTTGTCATTGATATTGTCGATTTTCTCCAAAGGTCTGGCCATGTAGAAGCGGTGAGAGTGGCAAGAAGAAAATGTCGAGGTTTGAGACGAGAGGGTGATGAAGATGAGAAGGAAGTTAAAGTACTCAAGATTATAAATAAGTGACGCCTGAAAGATGGGACGATTGTAGAGTAATAGATGTTGGAACTGTTTTTAAAGATGGAATATGAAATTAAAAGGGTTATGCGAAAGTGTCATATCTTTCATGTTGGTAACTGCCGTTGAGAAAGAAGTGAAAGAATAAGAATCAATGTTATTTGAAATCAGAAAAATATTATGCGTATGAATTTCTTTTAACAAAACAGAAGGTGAATGTTGAGGTCAGTCACATAATAGTGTATAAAGACAGAAAGACATTTTTATATTTAACAGGACAATAACTTTTCTTATATGATAGATATTTTTATTTAAAGAATTCAAATGAAATAATAAATTAAGTTAAAAGGAAAAAAATAAATTAAATCTATTTAAAAAATGCTATATGTATTCTATGCAAATATACCTAACTACTCGATATGGAAAATATATAAATATGTCTCCATGTGCATTAACTGCAAGGATTTGTCTGCCACGTATGTATATGATTAGTATGGGCATTAATATTTCTTGTGATTGGTAGATGCCGACCCTTATGTGCTATAATTATGAAATTGAACCTCTTCATTGTTTTTCTATAACCTTAGGATAAAATATGAATTTATCAAGCAGAGACATTTAATTAATTGTAAGTGCACGAGTTCAAATCAGTAGTTTTGAAGTGACTCATTCTAAAACATCCAATTATATAACTTAAATCTTAAATAAAATTAATGATTATTATCAATTATGAAATCATATGAAATTTTGGTAACAATAGAAATAATAGTTTAAGAAACGTGATGAAAAATAAACTAATAATATAAGTCATACTATCTTTTCAACAATGGTTGGATTGATATAAATTTTGGGAAAATAATTTATGAAAACAATTAATATTGTTCATATATTTTAACTTCCAGCTAAATTGGTCATCACCTGCCAAAGTATCAACCATATCAATGAAGGTCACTATTTCCCTTCAAATATTTCATAGCATAACAGTATATATTATTACAATAATAATCAATAATCATCATTCATAATTAAACGACTTATAATAAGTAATTTATTTCCAAAAATAAACTACCTATAATAAAAAACGGAGGTAGTATATACTATTATTGCTATTATTGATTAGGGACCATTTGATTATTAATTAGTATACTAAACCATCATAAACACACCATACAATGGTCTCTAACTTCCAATAGCATTAGCCTCTATGATTTATCACAACATAGCAATGAATTTATTATTTCACAACAATAATCAATAATCATCATTCATAATTAAACTCTCTTGTGAATAAAATCCTTAACTTGCATAATCAACTGAGTAGCTTCAGGCAAATCAGGAAAAATATAAAAAGCATGAATCATATTAGGATACTCAATCAACTCAGCATTCTTTCCTGATTTCTTCAACCAATCACAATACCTCCTTTGCCAATCATTTAACGGGTCAAATCCGCCCACAAAAACAACAGTATCCGGATAATCCAAACCCGTCAAATCCTCTGCATTCGGCCCGCAGACATTAACCGCACCATGATCCCGATCCGATCCCGGCAAAAACACCTTCCACAGCCAATCAGTCCTCGCCATCGACACCAGCGGCGATCCCTCGAGACGAATCTCGGCTTCCGTCCGCTCCTCACCCCCGAAGAACGGTTGGATCGAAATCAACCCGACGACCCGGATTCTCTGGAGCCCCGCTTTGCAGACCCGAACCGCCACGTGGTGTGCTAGATTTGCACCGGCACTGTCCCCGGCGAGGAAACATTTTGACACGTCAGCATTTTCCGGTAACACAGATTTGTTCTCGTCGAGAAATTTCAACACGGATTCTCCATCGTCGTATTGCGACGGATAAGGATGCTCCGGAGTGAGACGGTAGTTGACGGAGACTACAACAGCGGAGATTTTACGGCAGAATCTACGGCACACGGCGTCGTATCCGATTGAGGCAGGGGAGAGATGCGAAAATCCACCGCCGTGAAAGAAAATCATCACTGGAAGAGATGCAGTTTTGGTGTCAGATCCATCTTTGGCGACGGTTACGGCGGGTGTGTAGAGACGGAACCAAACGTTATGTTCGTCACTAACGGTAACGTCTTTGGTTGAAACGCCGTTAATAGGAGTGGCTTTAGCGGAAGCTTTACGATCTAAGACGCCAAGAAAACGGCGGTTAATGGTTCCGTCAGATCGGCATGCAGCGTCCGTTAAAGTCGTTACGAGTGAAATCGAAAGGCGAGTTTTCCAAGGAAGAACGGGTTTGGGTTTGGTTGGAGACGACATTTTGTTTTGAGATTTGTTTTAATAATGAAAGTTTCTGGTGAAAAGATGAATAAATAATCAATCATAGGAGAAATTATGGAAACTTTTTCTATGTCGTTTTAAGTAATTCATAAAGTTTGGTGATATTTGAGTGGTTCGGAGTTTACTATGTAGGAGGATAGTGGGGGTCCATCAAATTGTTGTTTCTGGAAAATAATATTAATTATTAGTACCTTTTATTTTTATAATCAAATGAAAAAAAAAATCTCATGTGTGTGGACTATTTTTGACTAATTTTATATTATACTTCTGTTAATTTTGGTGACCTAATTTTGACTAATGATTTGACTATAGGCCAAGATTTTTTAATAAAAGTAAGGCGGACAATAAATCAAACTAATTTTAAAATAGTTTAGAATTTGATTCGAAAATTAAATCATTGAATTAAATTCATAAGATAAATAAATTGAATGAATTAAAAAAATAAATTTATTAATTAAATGAATTAAATTTGAATAATATATAATTTGACTCGTTAAATTCATGAGTTAATTCGATTATATATAAAATAAATTATATTATTTTTAAGAATAAATTTAAAGAGTTATAGTAAATCTTAGTCTCATATTTTCTTTTAATCTAACACTTTTAACTTATTATTTATATTCTCAAGTGAGTTAATTATACAAATAAAATTAATATCGTATAAATTTCAATCTTACATGTTTTATCTTATTTCTATATTTTTTAATTTAAAAAATATTAATTTAAAATGTCAAATATATATATATATATATATATATATATATATATATATATATATATATATATATATATATATATATATATATATATATATATATATATATATATATATATATATATATATATATATATATTGATTTTAAAAAATTATTTTTAAATCTGTGAAATAAGCGAGTTGAACCTAACAAGATAAAAAATTGTTTTTAAATCTGTGAAATAAGCGAGTTGAACCTAACAAGATAAATCTAATGGTTGAACCGAAATATTCGTGAACTTCTAACAAGTCGAGATTGAATTGAAATTTTTTTCCGATGAATTCGAACTCGACCAATTCTTAACGAATCGAGTTTGAGCTGGAAAAAAAATCGTGATGATTCGAACCCAAACTCAAACGAAACTAATTCTTAATGAATCGAATTGAACTGAGGTGAGTTCGACTCGACTCATTTCCAACTCTAAATAAAAGTCCAATTCATATATCTTACAATAAATGATTAGATTGAAAAGAGACATAGCATTATCTTATTTGTTAATCTTTAAAACTCTACTCTTTAAATTACATGACAAAAAAATTATTTATAATTATGATTATACCAAAAAAATGCAAATAAAAAAATAATATTATTTTTAATAACGACTAAATTAATTGTATTATAAATATTAAATGTAAATTTTATGTATTTTTTTTTATTTTAGTGTTGTTTTTCATTTAATTATTTTATAAACAGTTGTTTAAAATCTATGATTTTTATCAAAGTTTGTTAAAAAAAAATGTTTTTATTAAGTAAAAAATCATATTAAAAATACTTGAGATTTTAGTTTTGAAAAAAATTAATTGAGATTTATTTAAAATACTTTTTTTTAGTAAATCATTTATGTATAATTAATATTTCTTATTAAATGTTTTTCAATAAATATCAATAAAGGTGAACACTTGACGAAATAATTGAGAAACTCACGTATTTATCACTTATTTAAGTTTAATTAGAGCACCTGCCATAAGAGTATTTATGTGAGTTTATTAAATTAATGAATTCGTCTTTTTATTTAATTTCTCTATTGAAGCAATTTGACGTGGTAAAATCGTTGGCATAAAAATAGTGAAAGTAAGTTAAGTAAAATATAATATCATGTTAATAGTTAGTTTATAATAAAAAAAATATACATAATTGTTTTAGATTGTGCCTGCCTTGGCCCAAAAAGCAGATAAAGGCCCAAATTCAGACAACTCTTCAAGGAATGCTCACAAACAGATCACCACTAAACATGTCCGACCACGGACTGCAACTGCTATGCCCGCCATTGTCCGCGACAAGCAATGTCCCCGACCAAGGGAACTCTAGCTCGGGACCAGCTCGAGCACCCTCCCCGTAGGGCAAACTCTGTCATCCTAACCGTTGTGGAATCCTCCAAGCTCCAGAAAGACCGCGTCTCTGTCCCTCCTTGTTCTCCGCACAGCATCACCAGGAAGGGGACCACGTGCGGGGCCCCACTACACACGTAGAACCTGGAAGTTCCTTTATTGGGCCAGTTCTGGTCGGCCCAATGAGGGGACCTTGGCCCAGCGCTGAGGGCTATAAATACTCTCTGTTTCGAGAGGGTCAGGTATTCATTCATTACACACCTATACATTTTTTGCCTGCTCATTCCGTCTCTAATTTTAGCATCAGAGTGTCTTGCAGGTACCCCCCATCTCGCTCAAATTCAGTTCGAGCCAGCCGTGACGGTCCAAGTCTAATTCGATAAGATCAGTGGCGCCGTCTGTGAGAAACTAGCTTCCTCGTCTTGCACACTCTCGAAGACCAAAGCTAAAAATCACCTCATACCGTCATGGCTGACCAAGTTCGGGACGACCAGAACGTCCGCGTCGTCGATGCCAACAACAACCTCGCATACAAGAATAGAATCCCTGACAACGCCGGCAACACCGACCATAGCACCCTCCCCGGGGGCGCCATCTCTGGGCCCTCGGGCCACCGCGATGGAGCCACTGCCTCATCTTCTTCAGTCCCTCCTCCACTCGAAGAAGACAATACGGCTCCCCCAAACTATCTAGCTACCCAATTCCAGGAAGTCCCTGTCCCCGCTGAGCAGATGCCACGACCAGAGCACTGTTCGCGGTAATCAATCAAACGAACTACCTCGTCTTTTCCCAGGGGGAAAGATTGAGGGCGCTAGAGGACGACAGAAGACCCCCGAGGAGGCACAGGAGGCCTCAGACCCCACCTCCTCGAGTAATAGAGGTACGTCTCCCGTCTCCCCCGCGGAGGCAATACAGGGACACCTCCCGAAGCCCGTCGCCCCGACCATAGGGGAGACGACCCCCCTTGGAGAGGCAACCCGTCATTGAAGCCGAAGGGCACAACCACGGCCTCTTACGGAAAGAAAGAAGATACCCGGGAGACAGGCACGAAGGGTGGACCAACGAGCATCCCGCTCGAGGGGCATTCAGCATGACCAGAATCGTCGGGCCCGACAATATCTCAGGTCCCCGTCCCTATCCCCAGAGCGAAGTGACGAGGACGACCCCCACGGTCCCCTTTCACAAGCCATCGTGGAGGCGCTCATTCCCCCAGGCATGGAGAAGCCTCCACATCTAAAAGAATACGACGGAGTCGCGGACCCAGTCGACCATATAGACGGGTTCGAGGCTATGCTGCATTACCATAATGTCGGGGGACCCATCAAATGCCGGTTGTTTCCCACGACCCTTAGAAATGCAACAATTGATTGGTATAAAGGTCTCACCCCGGGATCAATCACCTCGTGACAAAACCTGAAGAATCAATTCATAAGGTCATTCACCGCGTCTCGGCGACATCCAAAGACCGAGCCAGCACTCGAGGCCATCGTCCAGAGGCAGGACAAGACTTTGAGAGAATTCATCAACCGCTTCAATCGCGAAGCCATACAGGTCCCCTGCATGGACCACATGAAAAGGTACTTGCTGGAGAGGGGGCTCCTCCCCGGTACAGAATTCAGAAAGGCGGTGGGCATCGAACCTCCCCGAATGTTCGATGCTCTCCTCGAGAAGGCCCGGGCATATATGGATTATGAGGAAAGGGAAGCGGCCAACAGAGCCCGGGACCCCAGAACTCGCGGATCCAGCAGCAACCCGTGCCAAGAGACCGCTCCTCCTCGACGAACAGGGGAGAAAAGAAAAAAGGACAGACCCCGAGAAGTCCGAGAGCAGAGAGGACCCTCGGGGCATTTCACAGAATACACTCCGTTTACGGCTTCCCGCGAGCGCATCTTGGAGGAGTGCGCCAACACAGATTTCAAAGATGGCAGCGTCAAACGCCCTCGACCAGCTCCTGCCAAGCCCGGGGTGGACAAGAGCAAATACTGTCAGTACCATAGGAGCCACGGTTATCTGACGGAGGACTGCGTCCACCTCAAGGACGCCATCGAGACCCTCATAAAAGGGGGGAGACTCGCCCAATATCGGCGAAACGACGCTCCTTGTCGTGACGCCCGGGATACAAGAGAACTGGAGGAGGATGCCTGACCATCTGACGAGTCAGTCCCCATCCAGACTGCCTTCTCCGTCACAAGACCTGAGGACTTCTACGTCCTCGAGCACCTGCAAGAACCGTTGTCAACACACAGCAGGTGAGAGCACTTTCCCTCCGTCATGGTCATCAATGGTGGAGGATTCAACGACCTAACCATAAATTCGGCCAAGAGGAAGCTGGATGAACTGGTCGACTCTGCACCTCCTCAGACGGTGACTTTTGAAAAGGTGAAAGGTAGGTCGGAGCCTATCACCTTTTACCTCGAAGAGCTCCCCGGAGGAGCCCCCAACGCGGTCATTCCTCTACTAATAAGAGCGAGAATGGCTAATTTTGACGTACACCGCATTCTCGTCGACGAAGGAAGTTCCGTCGATGTAATGTACAGTCAACTGTTCTGAACCCTGCAGCTCGACGACTCACACCTCTCACCTTATGTGGGGTCGGACCTACAGGGCTTCAACGGCTCGACCTCCAAACCTTGGGGATACGTCGAGCTCATGGTTACCTTTGACAAGGACACAGCGACGAGGCAGGTCAAGGTATGCTTCCTCATGATCGACTGCCCGTCCCTCTACAACTGCATCCTAGGATGACCAACACTAGCAGAACTGACCGCGGTACCCTCTACCATCCACTTGAAGATGAAGTTTTACACCAAGAGGGCACGGGTCGCCACCATCCAAGGGGACCTGGCTGCTGCTCGAAGGTGTTTCAACACGGCATCCAAGGGACGCGACACGG